TTTTTATTAGATTAACAACAGATTATTTTATACATAAAATTAAATTATATCTATATAATAAAAATATTATTTGTAATAAAGTTACAAGAGAGTTAACAAAAAGACAAAAAATATAATTATTATATATTTAATATATATTCATAATGTATTTATTATATAATTATTTAGATCATATAATAATTATATAGTTAATATATTATAGATATATTGCAAACATATTTAGCAAAAAACATAGGTTTCTGTAAAGTATAGAAAAGACTATATAAAAACTACACTTTTAGAAATCTACCACATGACTATTATGATGCCAAACCACCACTACTCAAAGACCTGACCAAAATTAAAACAACTAATGAATACAAATTTTAAATAAGAAGCTATAAACATTATCACAAAATCAGCTTTACTTACAAATTCAATATACTACTTTTATCTAAAATAATAATTGCCAACCCTATTAACAAACCTATATTTCTTGATAATCTACAAGCTATTATAGAATATAGTATTACCATATCTATTACATCAAATAAAGCTCTAACTAAAGTAACCAAACTACTAAGATTAACTTATTACTTCCACCAAATTTCAACTATATAGATTCAGCTTAACACAAACAGCTACAATACAAATATGACAGAAATAACAAAACTGACCATACCAGATAAAATAGAAGAAATTTACAAATATCTGCAAAACAATAATATTAACACATCACAAATAACACTATCTATCACTGATCAAACAACAGTAGCTAAAACTCTCGAAATTCTACATCACAACTTTATAATTAACAATATCTCAGACTCAATTCTAGCATTCCCACTTCTTCTGAAGCCAACTTAAGAAATCTTTTTACCTATAAGAAGAAACAAAACAATTATACAATAGATCATACAATAACTACAAATATACCAGTACAACAAATTAAGTCTTCTATACAAATAGAAGACTTATCTAAATCTCCCACATATAGCTTAGTTTAGGCAAAGCTTTGGCTTCACTTAACAAAGTTTTGTTATGAGTAAAGTAGGCCAAGTCTTAGTTTAGCTAATAAAGTATATGTTAAATACTTTCTTTGTAAAGGACGTAACAAAAATTAGATAATTTTTTAGAGAGAGAGAGGGTAAAAAATTTAAAATAATATATAAAGATCTTATCAAGATATATATTAAGAGAAGAGAGAGGAAGTAAGCTTCTAATAAAAAATTCAGGTGATAAATAACACTGCCCTAAATGTAATTACATGACTTTTATAACAAAAAACTCAGGTAAGATCTCGCTTTCATAACAAAACAAAAAAAAATATCAAACAGATAATTGTTAGACAAAAAGTTATAGAACAAATAATTGTTAGGCAAATAAATATTAGGCAAATAATTGAAACTCATAAAAAATATTTAATAAGTTACTTTAAATATTTTTAGAATCCTGTAACTCTAATACTTGTTACAACAAATTTTTCTTAAATTATAATATACTATATTTATTCCAAAACCAAATATTCAGATCTTATTTAGAATATTTAAAAAATTACAAATTTAATAACAAGATAATCTTTACAATTAGCTACTTTCAAATGAAGTATATATATACTTATTTAATAATTAACTTTTATTTTCAAATTATATAATAACTAATAACCTAGATCTACTAATAAAAATAATATTAATATTATAACAAAGTATTGCTATATATAATATTTGAAACTAGAATATATTAGAAAAATATCTTATTTTGAAAGAATATGGTCTAACTTATAATTTATATATAGTTAGTTTTAAAAATAGCTAATACTATACAAATCAAAAATTAAATATAACTGCTATAAATACTTTTAGTTTAATATTTCTAAATCTAAAAAATATATATATATTATGATTTATAGTAGTATTTAGCTAAATATTTACAATATTTTAATATACTTAGTAGTACTATTATACTAGATATATTTTTTAAATATGACTACAAATTTTGAATTATTTTAGTTTACTTTTATCAATAAATATAAAGGATCAGAAAGATATATGAGACAAATCAATTATCTGGATACAACTAACAATATTTAATAAGGATGTTCTATAGAATAGATAGGCAAACTTTGCAACTCCAAGGATATAGTGACTTAGTGAAGTTAGTAAGTTATCGCACTTCCAAATAGCAGAACAAAAGTTTGAATCCTACTAGTAATGAAATTTGAATTTATAGAATATGTTATAATAGACTGTATGATATATTGATTAGGTCAGCATCTGTAATCTTGGTTTCACCAACTTGTATTGTGAGGTTGTGAAACAATAGTGTGATGCATAAGTTATATGAATCTTGAGTAAAGCAGCCAAATTAATCCAAGAGATTAGAAAATACAGAAGCTGCTTGAGAAGTTCTGAGTAAAGAGGTAGCACAGATCTTTAACAGCACTATATAAAGGATTATCATCTGGGAACTGAACACCAAAGGCAAACTGAATAAGGACTAAGTGTTTGGTAAAAGCACTATATCAACCAGGCTACCAGATAACTGAAGGAAAAGGATTCATTCAGAATACCAGAAAACACCCACTGGTCCCTTCCAGGCCATCTGGATTAGAAGTTTAGAGCACTAATAATTAGCATTGAAGTACTGTTGATAGTCTGTAAAGTGGATGTTGGAGTTTGTATAAACTTTGCAAGAAAAGGAGTAAGTGATAGTAGCAGAGGTAAAATGCCACAAGTACTTGGCTGTGGTTGAGATGCAAGTACCAAAAATTTAGATGATACATGTATGGGACATAAACTGCTTTAGTAGGTTTATTACAAAGATAAAAAACCTCTATATAGTAGTGTATATCTGCTTTAAAGTCCTAAGAGGCCTCAGTAGCAATGCCTTTTTGGGGAGAATATTTATCAATAACACTAAGTTGATTAGAGGGTTTAATTGGATAACTCAAATAATAGTGAATAATAGATATAGCATCTAGTATAGAACCTAGTAATAGGCAGACTACTTAAATTAGATGCTCAAAAGGTGCAGATATGGCTAAAATATATTCTCATTAATGTAACAAAGTCGGAGATGACCCATGTAGTTGTCCTGGTATTCAAACTGAAGTTAATACATGTGTCAGACCCCTAAGTGGTCACCTTAACAGTAAAAAAAAAAACTCTACAACTCCACAACTCCACTATTAAAAATTAATAATTACTAATCTTTAGTAAAGCTTATTTTTTATATTGCCCATCTATTCTATAGAATAACTCAGATGGGATTAGATTTAACCAGTGTTGGAACATAACTGGATCATAACAGACCATAACAGGTCATATTACAATTAGTAAATCATAGTAACCATGGTCGCTAATTGAACTTGGTGACATGATCTGTTATGACTTGGTCATGTCACAACATTTTTATTAGATTGAGATATTTAGATATGACTTAGTTACTTAGTTATTTAGGTCACATCCGGTCATGTTCCAAAACTGGATTTAATGGTCTATAGTCTAAGTCTCATTCTTATAAAAATTTGTAAACTAGAACTAGCCTGTGATACCCCTAGTGGTTATCCAATACAAATAAATATTAAAAAAAACTAATATGTATACAATACTGGGCAAAAATTGTTGAATAACGGTAATTTGGCTCAAACGGGCAAATGATTGGCTGACACGTTCCGCTTCGCGGCACGTGTCAGCCAATCATTTGTCTGTTTGAGCCAAATTACCGTATTCAACAATTTGCCCAGTATTGGTGTTATCCGGCAATTTATGATCATGGCCCGATCCTCCTCCTATATATAGATTTTAGATCTAAAAAAAATGATAATTATATAAAAAAGAAATTTTCTTTAGTATTAGCGAAAAAAAAAAATTCTACAGACGGTTTTTTTTTTTAATAAAAAATTCTATAGGCGTATTTTTTTTTTTTAATAAAAAATAAACTTTCCTTCATTTTATATTGTATTAGCATACTCCAAGAATTTTTTTTCTAATGCCCAAATCAAAAAAAACTGGCACCAGTAATTTGAGGACGAAGGTCGTTTCATCTGGTACTAGTAATGTGAAAAACAGTGCCATTCCAAGAGTCAGCAACATAAAGAGAAAAGCTGTTTCAAACGAAAGTTGTAATCTTGCTTCAACTATGAGTAGTAACCCTACTTCAACCATGATGAGTAATCCTGAGCCAAATGTGATGAGTAATCCTGAGCCAAGCATGAGTAATTCTGAGCCAACTATGATCAGTGTTCCTGAACCAGCCGTGATGAGTGTTCCTGAACCAGCCATGATAAGTGTTCTTGAACTAGCTGTGATTAATAACAGTATTGTATACGAAGCCGTTGAAAGCACAAAGGTAATTTTCTTATTTCTTTTATTTTTTTTTTTAAAAAGAAATTATTAAAAAAATTCCTACAAAATTTTAGCATGTTAGATATACGGAGCCTTCATTAGAGGAGCTTGATGAAGTTCGAGGAAATGCAAGGGTAGAATCAACCCATAAAGCGACTCAAGTCTGGATCAAGGCTCTTAAGGAGTTTCGGTCTGATGTAGGTTTTAAGGGAAAAATCAAGGAAATTGATTCCAAAGAGGTCCTTGAGGACCAATTATCAAAATTTATTTGCGCGATGAAACGTAAAGATGGTAAAGAATACCACGCATCTTTGATCCGTAATTGCATGGCCGCAATTTGGCAGCACATCAACCAGTATTCTGTTATGAAGAAACCTATTGAAATACTCAATCCCAAGGTTTATTATGATTTAAATACCATTGTCAATGGAAAAATTAAGAATCTTTCAGCCAAGGGCCTTGGTGAACGAGCTGAAGCGGACGGGTTAACGTTAAGTAAAGTGGAGCATATTCTTGCTCACCCTACTATGCAGCGTAACACTCCGGATAGGGATGTTACGGTCCTACAAGACCGTGGTCCGGACCGGTCTTTTGAACCGGTCTAACCAGTTCTCGGTCCTAAATTGAGGACTGGGTCCAGACCGGTCCTTAGCTTATAGAATGATCTCATTGGCTAAAAAGA